TCCAAAAGGGCTGGAGAGCACTGCAGAAGGCACACTGCAAAATTCGTTTTCAGAACACGGACAACTCTAAGGAAGAAAACTTCACAGCCCTCAGTGGCATTTCAGATACGTGCCACTTACTCACTTTCCTGACGTGACATGCCTTGACAAATTTTTATCCCATCCATCATTTCAAGGGGAGCTGCAGCTGTTCAGGACACCAAAAATTCCTTTATCTCTGGCAGGATATGCCCTTCTTATTTGATAGATGAGAGAACAGAAAAAGCAAATGTGTGTTTTGCTAAGGGCAAAGGACAGCTGATATCCAACTGGAGTAGAACCCAAAGGCCTGCATTAAGGTCTCTGGCGTAATTACACAGGCCCGTATCTCACTCGTTAACAAGGTTAAACAGGAAACACAAACATAAAACCTTCAGAGAAGCCAAGAGTAGTTACAACCACAACAATTCTCAGTGAGGTCTACATGCCACAGTGTAGTGCTCAGCCCAGCTCAGGACTAAGACACGTACTTTTCTCAGCTCTTCCTCCACCTTTTTATCCACAGGGTTGGTGCACACTTTCTTCCAGGTCTGTACAGCAGCATCCAGGGGTTTAGTTGGGATTTCTTCATCATCAAAGTTCACAAAGATAGCGTTGTGCGGGCGACGGGCCCTGCTGAGGCCAATCAGGTTCTCACCAGACACCTGGGGGTTGTTGTATCCCTCCCTAAGAGAGAGGGAAAGGATCGGGTTTGCTTTCTGCCTGTGGCACACACGGATTTGGGGCCTTCAGGGGAATATCCAAAAATGGAAGGCTGTGCCCCACATTTCAGAAGGGACTCAGCCATGTGAGCAATGGGTTGGTTTGTCTTTGGCTGCACCTCCCTATGGATTTTGGAATCACATGCTAGAACAACAAAAGGCTCTTGTGAAACTATTGAGGAAAGAAAATTTAAGTTTAAAAAATAAACCTGCAAAGCTACATCCAGTTGCAGAATGAGGGAGGTCCCCTACACTACCTGGCAGAAAACCCACAAGTTTTTTCATCGTATGAAATGCATTTCCAGCACTGAAGGCTTCACCCTCTGCATTTGCTCTACTGTAGTTACTGCAGCTCCGTGAGGTCCAGGGACAAGGCAGGACGGAAATGCAGTTTAGATAATTTGTTCTCTTTTTAAATGCCGATGAAGGACTACAGTGAGAAAATGAAAGATGTTTCTTGTGGGAGATCTCACAGACTGTTTTTCTGGGAAAAGCAGCTGTGGGCCAGGAGGGAACAGGTCCAGTGAGCGCGGTCACAGGAACATATGGCATTGACTCCTGCACACTCCAGCCCACGGGAAGCAGGCAGAGAGTGGGGCTC